AACATGTTTGCAATGAATAAATCAAATGTTGCAAAGGAAGCAAGGAGTAATATTCATTTGCCAATAGGAGCGACACACTTTTTGAATAGTTTCAGGTCCCTGGAGTCCTGACATTTAATTCTTTTCAGTTATTTTTGGCACAACTTTTCAGCATTCAGTGTTGCTAACTGTTTACAAACACCTGGCGGGGAGACAGTACTATACGATGGGTATGGGACATTTGTGCTATTGGGAAATCCAGCGTAAGTGCTGAAAAAAAAAAAACCACGATATTTTTTAAGCCACTTAATTTGATTAGAACATCATTAGAGAACAAAAGTATTGGCAATGCATACTTTTTCCTCCAGGTATTCCACAAAATCTTCCCCCTTCTATCTATCTATCTATCTATCTATCTATCTCTATCTATCTATCTATCTATCTATCTATCTCTATCTATCTATCTATCTATCTATCTATCTCTATCTATCTATCTATCTATCTATCTATCTCTATCTATCTATCTATCTATCTATCTATCTCTATCTATCTATCTATCTATCTATCTATCTCTATCTATCTATCTATCTATCTATCTATCTCTATCTATCTATCTATCTATCTATCTATCTCTATCTATCTATCTATCTATCTATCTATCTATCTGTCCATCTATCCATCTATCCATCTATCTATCTATCTATCTGTCTGTCTGTCCATCTTCTGTCTGTCCTTCTGTCAGCCTGTCTATCATTTGTCTGTTAATTTGTCATTTAGATAAGGATGATCTACTGTTTTCAGTTATGCTACACATAAAAATAGGATATTATTCATACTTGGAACAAAATATTGGTAAGGTGAAGAGTTTTTGTTAAGCCACTTACTTTGATTAGAATAGAATTAGGTTAGAATAGAAGTAGACTTTACTCTCCAGTTTTCCCAGAAGTATTTCTTTGATTTTCCCAGACTTATTCCCTCTGGTTTTCCCAAAAAATCTTCCCCCAATTTATTTATTTGTTTAAATATTTGTCTTTTAGATAAATGATGATCAAATGTGTGCAGGTATGCTGTACCTAAAATGGGGTGTTGGTAAAAATATATTTTATATATTCTGTTTATATATTCTTTTTTTATATATATTTTTTCATGATATTTGTCTATTAGAAAAGGATAATCAAATGTTTGCAGGAATGCTACACCTAAAAATGGAATATTATTCATGCAGAGAACTAAATATCGGTAAGGTGAACTGCTGTTGTTAAGACACTTACTTTGATTAGAATAAAAATAGATTAGAATAGTACTGGCAACAAACATAGGCATGCAGGCTGATATGATACACAAAAATGCTGTCTAAGTAGGGAACTCACTAGGGTTTGTGACACAGCCATCGATTGAGTGTTGATCTACTAAAACATTACGCATGTAAAAGCAATTATTTAGTGATGAGTATTATGAAAAATGCAAAGTGTCAAAACAAACGCACATTTCTAAATACATACCGGACCGTTTACCTGAGGCGAGGTGAATTGTGACGTTAATTAAAGGTTTTCTGCATATATATTATTTACGCGTGGGAACAAAATACACAGAGCACTGCAAAGTGGGATTATTTTGACTACGGGCTGTTGCTAAGAAACGCTGCTAGAGCTCTGTAGTTCATTTAATAGTTGTTCATCCTTATCGAATAGGATTTTGCACGTGAATGACTATGCACCCGCAGGTTGTTATCCATCTGCTCATACAACATGTGCTCGACTACAAGCTTGAGATGCTGAATAACAGTAAAGCAATTCCAATCATTCTGCATACTGTGCATTTGCTCCTCGCGTAATTGTCATTGAGGATGCTTTATTTTTGTGGTCTCTATTGCTTCTTTTTGAATTAACCTGTCATACAACTCCAGTGTGTAGAGTGTTTTTTGCATCTTCTCCTCTCCAGGTGATGCACCTTCTGTTCTAGTTCATCACACATAAATTACAAATCTTTACGCTACAGAGACAATTGTCAATTAGATTAGTGGTTTTCAAGCTAGAGCTCGGGGAACCCAGGAAGCCACAAAAGTGTGTAAAATAAAATAAAATAAAATATACAAAATAAGTTGTAAATTAAATTCATTTAACTTTATTATGGGTAGAAAAAATACAGTGTCAACTTAATAGAAAGTAAATATTTTCAGATAATATTTTATATTCATTTATTTTCATTTAAAATAAAATAAAATCTTTTTCACAATAAAAGTTGTAAATTAAATTAAATTTAATAAAATAAAATAATTCACTATAAAAAAATAATAAAAAAATTAAATAAAATACACTGTGAACTTAAGTAAATATTTTCCAGATTTATAAATTTTTTTTTCACAATATAAATTGTGTTTTTATACATCAAAATCTATTTGTCTTGTATGTTTTAGGAAGGGGCCCCTTGCAATCCATTCATCATATTTGGTAGTTCATGGCATCAAAAAGTTAGAAAACACCTGAATAAAATGGCACTGTAGGTTGGTAAATGTAGTTAACTGTTATCTGAAATTCTGAATCCTTTAATCTGGCCAATGAGGAGCCAGGGTTTGCTGCAACTCTTCACCTATGTACAGGCTCACTGGATCATCCGATTTAAACCAGGGATTTAACCAGAGAGCGATACAGCTCCCAGTATTGCCTTCATAGATCAACTCAAATACTCATGCTATTTATGTTATACTGCCTGACGCAACAGTCTTTTGAAAGTCAGCATGTACTTTGAAGACACCTTCGCCATCTTAACAAGAGCTTGAAATGAAAATTGAATCAGTTAAAGATGTAACCAAAAATTGAGATAACACACACCTTGCATGCAATTTGCATACTTTTAGATTTATAAAAAGTGACTAACAGCATTACTTGCACACACAAACAAATGCACAGGCTCTGCCTCTGTTGCTGTTATTCGGTTGCTCTGCAGCAGAAATCAACGTGCAGTCAGCTAGTATGAGACGCCGCAGTGTTACGCTATAGCACAGCGAGAGAAAGGGACATGGAGGTTGTAAGTGATGATTAGCAATCTGGTACGAGGCCCTGCACCCATACAGCAGCCCGCTAATAAAACACTATGCGTGTCACTGTTGATAAAAGACCTCCATTCAATGACGACGCAGTAAAACGATGACGGCATCTCTCCCTCCCCTTGAGAACTGTGAGAAGAGCTGGGTAACTTACAATCAGAGACACTTCAAACACATTAAGAGCAATTCTGCAATCAAATGCAACCCAAAATGCAATCGAAAACTGATCAGTTAAATGGAACCCTGGGCTCATTTCAAGAAAGCAAGTGTGTATCGACTGTTCATGACTATGATCTATTGACCCAGATGTGCCGCGGGAGATAAATATCTTAAATAACCAGCCTGCGCTGATAAAGGAGATAAATGGTCGCTGTTCACTAGCTCGTGAATGACGTACTGAGAGGCAAAGGGTGAACTGCCTTTCATTTGCTCCAGCTTAACCAACAAGGGTCAGTAAGTGACTTTGGTTTCCTAAAATTGCTATAGATTTGTAGCTATATAACAAAAAAGATTATTGTCTGACAGGAAAAAAAATCTGATTACTTACTTAAAAAGGCAAGTAAAAAAGTTAGGTGCATCTAATTGGGCTGCAATCTGTGTAAAGTCTATGAATTCATATGACCTTATTATGCTCATTATCCCAAAATTGGGATCCCAAGTGGGGCACCCAGAAAAAAATAATAATTTAAGCTTCAGGTCTGGATGTGAGATGGATGTAGAGATTATCGGGTAATTGTGGTGCCAGTGACATACAGGGCTTCTGCCGAGTAAGCAGGAAACTGATTCAGTTAAAAGTAAGACCCATGGGAAACTCAGTAGTTCCCGGGATACCGTGCTTCCAAAGTGGATACATACCTAAGCACAACCTGACACCAGTAACTTGCTTTGGTAAGCTAGAATTTTCTCAAATACAGTGCCTGGTTAACCCTATAGCATTTTAGGGGGTCACATAATTTACGTGATCAAATATGCAAAATAGCTAAAACGTTTGTGAGCATGCTTACTGTCGGGCACAATTGTTCCAGCAAAGCAGGAACAAGTGGGAAAAACGTTCTTCTAACATAATAAAAAAACATTCACAGTTTGCAAGGTAACGCAGTTCACAGCCAAAACTCAATAGTGCCCACCTCAGTCAGGGTAAATGCCCTGTGACGTTCAATATCGTAGGGGTCTGCCAGGTAACCTTCTGCAGTATGGACAACAGCGAAATGTATTAACACTTTGCGCCTGCGCAATGACTGGCGGTTGAGATATGAATGCGTGTCTCATAATTAAGAGTTAACTTTTGCGATAATTACCGTCTGACTGATAATTATTCGTCTTGCGAGACGCTTATTCGGCAAATAAATGGACATTAAATATTGATTTGAGTGGAAAACATTTTATTAGCTTACTTGTAGTGACCACGATTGAACACGACCACAGCTATGAAATATTTGATCGCTGAATGCTGCGACTGACGAATTAGAATCAACTTGTTAGAATCAACGTTCTTCAACCCATTAAAGCAACTTTATTTTCAACATTCAAGTGAGGTTATAATTACATTAGAAGCAGAAGCAAAAAGGTAAGTTAAAAAAAGCGAGACAAAGTGCTGAGGAGGCGACTGCGCATGCTTAGAGCTCGAGACGCGGCGTTCACCGACAAATAATGCGCGTGGAGACAGTGACAGACAGCGAGACAAAATACTACATTTATCAGAGAGAGTGACAAAGAAACGCCCCACATAACGAACCCGAGTCCTTTTCTCTCCGAACGCAGCTAACACACTTACCAAAAGTGTACAACTTGTGCCAAGTGCGACAGTGATTGGACTATTGCGACTCTTTCGAACCAGCTCATAATTCCATGTGCACGAGAAATATCCAGTCAAATACTAGCCGAACATGTATCAAAAGTTCGACTGAGTGAGCTCCAAACTGCTACAGACACGTTTAATAACGCAGACTAACAAGATGCCGGTGCACTCACTCACCCTGGCGTATTTGGAGGAGTAGGGGTCCTCAAACAGCGCCCAGATGCGCGGCTGCCAGGTACTCCACCAGCTGGGGTTGCGGCCATCCTCCTGTAGACACAACCTCTTCAAATCCCCGTCCGCACCACCCGTTAGCGCCGGGTCGTCCTCTGGCAGGTCCGGCTCGGGCGTCTCGAAGCTGTCCAGCGCTTCCTCGGCGTCCCGATGCTGTCGGTAGTTCATCCAGCAGCAAGCCTCCACGTCCGTCTCGTCGATACCCCAGAACGCGAGTTCCTCCTCGAAGAGAGGACCGCAGACATCGTTGGGACAATGTAACTTCCCTGTGCGGTAATAATTGAGGATAAAAGCAAAGGTGTTGGGGTGGCGGTCAAAGAAGAACTCGTCGGATTTGGGGTCATAGTCAAAGTTACTGAACGCATCTGGCTCCGTGAGCCAGGACAAGCGCGTCCCAGGCAGCGTCTTCAGTGTGCTGCGGTACGTCTCGTGCCGAATCCCCCCGCAGTTTATCACTATTTTCTCGCTGTCTGACGGACAAGTCATGTCTGCGCTGTAACATGCTTTGTTGGACGACTTGTTCCCACCCTTGCGCCCTTTGTAAGAGGAGACACACACCGAACTGAGCATAGAGGGAGGAGGAGCCTGCGGTGGGAGAACAGAAGAGAAGAGAAAATTAGTGAAGCTCATACATTTATACAGTATCAGACTGGTCAAAGTAACCTGTCTTTAACTCATCACATCCTTAGTTCTTGCACCGGTTACTAATGGCTCTGTACAACCGCAGGGAAAATTGTACAAAAGCTGTCACGGGGTGGTACCTTTTCAAAAGTTATTATATGCTTAGAGGTTCTTTACTGGAGTCTATGGTTCCATGAAGAATCTTTAACATCTATGGAGATTATTCGAATGTTCTTCACACTAATAAAAAAGAGGTTCTTTTAAGAACTGCTCACTGAAAGGTTCTTTGGGGAACCCAAGCCATTCTTCTATGGTTCTACTGCAAAACCTCCTTTGGGAATCTTTATTTTTAAAGAGCCAAATATGTACCATTTAAGTATACTAATACGTACCCATTTAGGGGTAAATGCATACAAAGGTGTGCCTTTTAAATGGTACTGCCCCAGTTTTGTAACTTTTTTAAGAGTATATGTGGTGCAATGCAATGTCAATCCAGATTTTTTCAAAATCCTATTGAAATTTGGAAAAAACTGCAAATATAAGACCATTCTCGAATATCATAAACCTAAGGTCCTTTATGGTACAGTCTACTCATTGGGCTTGGAAAAGAGAGGGCCTGTCCATAAAACTGTGTCAAAATGACGGCCCTAGCAAACATACAAAATCAGATGAATGATGATGCAAGTATATGGGATAAGTGTTTTAATAAAGGAGTGAGTTCAATATACTTCAGGTGTCACATAATAAACAGGAAAGAGACCCCTCCTCCTCTGCAATGCCCACCCATCTTTCCTTTTCCGTCTTTTGCCATCACTCAGCTCTCATGTCCCTCAATTCACTAAAATACTCTGCTCAATTACAGCGAACAGAGATGAAAATGACTGAACATTTCACAGCCACCCCCCTCCCACTCTCAGCGTATCCAATAGAAAGAGGGAGAGGAAGAAAACGAGAGCGAGAGGAAGGGTGGGAGGAAGAGGGAGAAAAGCTAAAGGCATAACGATTATTTGCTGAGCTACACAAAATAGGGAGAAAAGACTGCAGAGCATTTACTCTTACTCTGTCTCTCTCTGGGCAGTGCTAATGTTATGCAGACCGTTCAATACAGTCTGTGTACAGTATTAACCTTGGTTACAGGCGTAAAATCCAGAAAATTGTAATTGTTTGAGTGTGCAATTGTCAAATTTACCTAAAAAGGGTTAGTTTCACGTAACCTCTCATATGCACAATCATGTTTTCATTCCATTACACTAAGCAAGTGCTTTAAAAACGGAATGTTTCTACTTCATAGCTATAGTGAAACAAATGAGTCCTGGCTCTCTTTTTCCAATCAAAACGTCCCATTTTGGAAATATGGAGCAGGGACGCTATTATCTTTTTCTCTTGGGGTCTCTGTGGTAACATGCCATTTGTAGCTGATTTAACCTTTAAAAATTAGTTAGTGTGACCTAATATAGGCACATTGACTCCCTCATGTTAAATAAGGGTTTTAAATGTAATAAAACAAGTTACTACATGAAGCACTTTTTACTGTTGCCTAGCAAATTTTTTTTAGTGGACAAGAGTCAGATTTCAACGACATATGTTTTTCTGTGTTGTCTCTTTTTGCTTTCACAATAACTCTTCTTTATCTGTTCCTCGTTTGGCTGTGCTGCATGGCTGTTCCATACATATCTGTCAAACTGTCTTCCCTCATTACTTATCCACTCTTATCCATTATCCTCAGCTCACTCTTCCTCTTGCTTTCCCTTATGTCCCCCTGTGATTAACTGTTAAAACAAAGATCACAGGAATATGAGAACTGTAGGAAGAAGAGAGGCTGAATCATATGAAACAATGTAATTGAGACAGTTAAGTGGGTTTCTGCTTTCAGCACCACGGACAGCGCATGAGTTTCAGTTAATCATTTAAAGCAGTATAAGCATTGGAAATGAAAATGAGCAAAACAATGTTTTATAACAGAAGTAAACTGAAGAGTCATAAATAAAATAAAAAACAAACCTAATAATAATCATAATATAAAGTAATTGTAAAATAATAATGTAAAAACTCAACCCACAATTGTGCTGGTGTTACACTGCTTTTACAATATATATTCTCAGAGTAGTTCTCATAATTATACATAACTAAATCCTCAAAAGTGGAAACACTTTGGCTCTGCTACACCATCAAAACATCACTATGTTTGTCTGGGCCTCCCAACATCTTAATATTAGTTAAACCAGTGCCGTTTTTGCAAGGTGTTTAAATATGTCAGGCTTGTATAGTGAAATAAATAACTATAAGGAACACAAAAGGAGTAAATAAATAAAATGATGAATAGGAAAAACTGAAACTGATAGGAAACTAGGGGGAAAAAAGTTGTGCTGACAATGCAAAAAAAAAAAAACAAGGCTCTCACTAAAAAGGGAAATCATTGTTAAGTGTGTGTGCCGGATGGGGGTGTGTATGTCCGTTGGGATGGGGGTTGGTTGTAAGGACAGATACGCCTATAAAAGACAACAGCACTATATCGACAGAGAGCACGGAGAGAGGAAAAAGGGAGAGAACAGGTTACGGCCACTGAGGGAAATGTGAAGGAATGACTGCAGTAAAGGTAAATGAAGCTCCATTCATAAATTATTCAATTTCTATAAACAATGCCAAAGAGAAGTGATATATACATGCATTTTTATGAAAAGGAAGTAGAACTGAACCATATCTATGCTATTTTTCTTTTATCGTACAGTATGCTGCTGTAGTGCGTGTGCATTGTACCTTCACTCTAACTCCCTTTCTCTCTGTCTGGTGCAGTGTAGGTTCTTTGGATTTTTCTGCTTGCTATCCCACTGCAGTTGAAGCTCGGCGGTGCTCAAAGGCCACCTAGAGGACTCATTGGGGAACTGCACAGCACAAAATACTGCAGTACCCCCTCCTCTTCAAGCTTTCTCCCCGACTGAGGTATGGATGCCTTATGCAAACCATCTGTCGATGCATTGCATACAGGTTTGTGTCCCTTTTTAGCCCATACACCCTTTTAATTAACTGAAATCACTGAACAAATGCAATTCAATCGCTGAATTATATGAACTGACTATGTATCATCTCGGAGCTTTCTGATCTCAGTGATTAAGGCTTTTTGCAATCCCTTCCTCGTTCTCTCTCTCCCTTATTTGTGTGCACTAAGCTACTCTCAGTCGAGTTGCTCATATCGACGTCTCTTGTGGAATAGCACTAAAAGAAAATAAATTAACAGAGCAGGGACGCTTATGCACACAAACACAGGCACATTAAAAAAAAGCAATGTCACAGCACAATTAATTAGCTTTAAATTAAATTAAGCTGTGCAAAGACAAACTACAAAGCATTGGCACATATGCATATACGATATATCCTCAGAAGGTCATCAGTCAGACTTTGACCTCTGCTTTGAAACTAATCACAGCTCTGTTCTCAGCAGTCAGAAGCCCTTTTCAAAAGGCCCACTCTTTATTTTCAGTCAAGAGAGTGAGAAAGAGATTCAGAAAGGGACTTAGAGGACTCATCTTACAAGTGACAGCGTTGAGATGTGCATGACTATATTCCCATATCTAGCACTAACAGTGTTCTTAAGATAGTTATAACCCCACTCCCTACTCCCCCCCCACCCCAGCCTCAGCTCTCGTTAAAACCTAATTAATAAAAGTGCCCTCTCCAGTTAATTACCATCCCTTTATAGTCCCCCATTAAGTACTCAGGGAATGAAGCCGGAGAGAGATGGGATATAATTGTGTTAAGCCAAATCACACATGAACTTGATGGAAACTATTCTTAGCGGTGGGAAAGAATGGAGTAGGGTGACAAAAAAAAAAGAACTGAAAAACAAACGGAGGACAGTGAAGGTCAAAACGGGGGTCATCTCAGGTGATGTGTAATGGTCGTACTGTTCGGAAGGAGTGCATCTGTAAGGATGCAAAATCATGGAAAGGCATCAGCAAGAGGGAGAGTAAATGGTTTGAAATAAGGCACTGCCAATGGGATGTGAGTGGGCAAAGGAGGGAGGGGGAAAGGGAGGGACCAAAAGCTGAGAGAAACAAACAGGAAAAGTTTAACTGGTGTATGTGATAAGATGAGAAAGTGTAGAGGAAGAGGAAAACAAGTTAGAACAAAAGTACTGATTATAGATCAGTAGGCTAGTTCTCAAGTTCAGGACCGGTTGCATAAAGGTTGCTTAGACTAGTCTTAAAAAGTGTACTGTAATTTTTTTTTCTTCTAGACTAGTCACAACTTTTTAAAATCAGTTACAAAAAGGTAGACTGCTCTAATTTTTGAATTGAAAAGTAAGACTGGTTACCCCTTGGCTAACTCCTAGTTGGTCAAACTAGTTCTTAAGACACAGTCTTAACATAGTGACTATGTTTATGCAACTGGCCCCAGGGCTCAGATAGATAAAAGTAAACAATTTGGTTATCCAACCTATACTTTCTATTATCTGTATTTAGCATTGTTTTATTTTATTATCCGCGACCGTATTGGAACCCATTTTTTCGAGATCCACATGTTTTTAGAGTATTAGTAAGAGACATAGGGGTCATGGTATGATGAGAAGTGCCCCATCTACAGTCAACACAAACTTTCTAGAGTTTTGATCACATTTGATTGTAGAGAACCTTGCCAATGGGTAGGGAGTGATGGGGAAAAAAAGAAACTGCTTATGCAGTGCATGGAACGAGAACACTTGAGTTCCCTATAACAGTGAATCTCAACCTTTTGGCGTACCGGACCCCAGTCCAATTCAGAACCATCCTCAAGGACCCCCAGAACAAAATTGACTCGTATCATTTGTGTCTTTGTGAGGACCAAATGCAGTCAAGTATAATTCAAGTTAGCTGACTTGTCCAGTATTTGGCCATATCATCAGCTATATTGGATTTTTCTTTCATGGGAACATGTCATGTCAAAATATACAAAATTTATACAAAAATTCATACTTTATACAGACCCCCTGGCCTTATGTCAAGGACCACTAGGGGTCCACGGACCCCTGGTTGAGAAACACTGCCCTATAACATACAGAAGGCCATATACTTGGCTACTCTGTTTCAGAGGGGGTAAAATAGTGGGCAGACAGGTATAAGTAAGATTTGACATTTATGTTAACATAGAGAAAAGACACATTCCATCACATATCAAGGTGACATGTGAAGAAAAAAATCAGACACCAATCATTGTGGGACATAAAACGTCCATGTATTTGTTGGACTGACAACTCAAAATAATGGAACATACCAGAAATACCTTAAAAAATATTACAAATAAAATTATGAAGGGGTTTAAGTTGTGTGGGAATTATTGAATGACCTTTAGGGGGTCTACTTTTTCTGTCAGTAATTTACGTCTCACACCTCTAATAGACAGTTTTAACAAAACACAAGGTTGGTGTGAACGATCGATAATAATAGTGTACATCTATGATTATGTGACAAGTAATTTTGTTTTGACTTGTACCGTCCGATACTAATCTAAAGCGCTCGATGAGCGTACTGTTGCCATGGTTACATCCTCAGAATTCTATTAGCGAACGTCTATTTAGCATATTCTTACTAAAATTTGTAATGTGACTTTTATAGTTAGCAAAACGCTGTAATACCGTACAAATGCTTATATGTGAAAAATAAATACCCCTCTCCCCTTATCCCAAATCTTGATTATGGTGCTTAGACCAAATCCCTCCCATAATTCGCACACGGGTTTAAGTGGCAAAAACAAAGAAGACCTGACTACTACTTGTTGAGTTCGTTGACTGGCAGAGGCAGTGGGTAGGCAGGCCTGCTTTGCATCAGTACACCGGGCACACAGACAGAAACACTCAGAACATAAGTGATATTTTGTCACTTGTACACAAAATCACGACACAGAGACAGCACAAACACCTATATTACATACTTACTCGCTTTGGGTCTGGCTCTGTTCGCGTGCGTGCAGTGTGCGGGTCACTGAACACACACACATGAACACACAAACTGCACAAAAATGCTACGTGGAATTGACTGTTTTCTGACTGAACGGAGGGATCCTCTTGGCGTAGGTCCAGATGACTGTGCAGAAACCTAAGATTTTGTTATCTATACAATGGCTACAGTTATGAATAATGCAATATATTCTTGCTACAACACCTGCTAGTTCAAAACAACGCAACTGTGCTACAGTGCGTAGTTCAGTTCCTTTAGTGATACAAAAGACTAGCCCACGAACAATATAATATATCACCTAAGTTGCACCTTTGATAGCCTTGTTACTCAAATAAATTATTCTCGTTATGTACATAGATGTTACAGGTCTAATATCAAAAAAAATATTTGCCTGGTAAATAAGCATTTCTATTACTTAAAGCTCGTGTTAACCTTTTATTTGTATTTCCTAAACGAAACGGTCTATTCAACCAAGCGAAACGTGCAGCGGGGAAACACCTCTCTCTCTCTATTTGTTTAATCTTCATGCACTCACTCCATTAACAGTCTATCCCTTTCGTCTCAGTTTTAGCATCCTTTCTTCCGTATCTTCACCAGTTCCCGTTGTCCAGGGTTAAGAAGACCGTAACCAGGTCTTTAGTTGCAGACTGAGGTGTCTGTTTGAAATTATTTATGCCGAACAAGCAGCTTGCCAGGCACGACTAGAAATGTTATTCCTTAAGCTGCCTCTATTATTTCTTCCGTTCGTTTTATCCCCTCCCTTTTTCTCTGTCGATGTTTTTTTGTTTTGTAAATCTGTATTTCCATGCAATTTATTCCTCAGTCTAATGGTGACATGGGATCCCCCTGTGTGCATTCCTAATAGTGTTACCTTTATACGTGATTTTTAAAAAGTTCTTAAAACAAAACAAAATTCCCAAACACATTCATTAACCTATCGCTTAATAATGCAGAATTATTATATTTAAAAAATAAATAAATAAACAGGGTTATTAATGAACATTAACGTAGGCTATAAATTTACAATTCATGTTGCTATAGATAGATAGATATATAGACAGATAGATAGACAGATAGTTTATTCAAAATAGTACACAAACGTGATTTTTAAAAAGTTCTTAAAACAAAACAAAATTCCCAAACACATTCATTAACCTATCGCTTAATAATGCAGAATTATTATATTTAAAAAATAAATAAATAAACAGGGTTATTAATGAACATTAAACGTAGGCTATAAATTTACAATTCATGTTGCTATAGATAGATAGATATATAGACAGATAGATAGACAGATAGTTTATTCAAAATATTACACAAGAAATGATACAGAAAGAGGAATAAATGGCATACAGATTACCTCTACTTACATGTTGACCTGTTAGGAATGTGTCTTTTACCTTGGTCAGTGTGTGTTTCCAGGGGCCATAAATTACCAGTGTAAATCTATAACCCTTATCTCAGTCCATACAGATATGTGTCTCCTTCTTATGGGTGTTCCAAAACAAGACGGTAGAATTTGTGTCTCTGTGTGAAAGAGACAACAACACTACACCAATTAGGATAAGCACCAGGACATGTCACAGAATTCTGCATAAGCAGACTCAACATCCAAAGTAAATCAGATAATGCAAGCAGGGCAAAAGTAGGCATATATCGAAAAAATAATATCCTGAAGGGACACGCCTAAATATGGAAACTTCTAACATTTAGCCTGCATTAAAAATTGTAGGCTAGATTGTAGAATATTCAAATCAAATTATACCACAATCTACAATAAGAAAACCCGAGGACAATAAGAGGTCATAGATGTCTAGACATGGTCAATAATGATTATTCTTTCTGATCTTTTAACTATCCCTTACCTATTTTATTTGCTTTTAATAGTTCTCTAAAAGATAAATCTAGCCTCCTGTTTCATAATCTTTGCCTTCACCTGTTCCTTAATTTTTATTCATCTAGCTTCCACATATGGTCTTAAATCAGTCTTGCTTGATCTCTCGCTCTCTC